CTGCAATAGGTGTTGGTAACAGTAATTACATTGTAATCCTTGTTCTCTTCCCTCCTGTCTACTCTGGTCATAATTAGTTGTTCAACAAATATTGAGAAAGGAGTCTTCTATCCGATGGTGATATGATACAGGTCATCTGGCTGTATAGAACGTGCCAGCCTGGCACCCACCACCCCCAAACAGAGCTCTGAAAATGTCCTCTGTTTCCACAACCTCGTGTCTTCACTTTCTCCCTTCCTTCCGTTTGACAGTTGGACTTCTGAAATCAGAACCTCATTGTGAGTTTGATCTATAAGCTCATTTCGAGTTCACTTGGTCATTTTTATCTTGACTATGACAGTGTCATCTATTAGCTTTGAAAAATGGCCCCTCCGTCATCAAAACAGAGAGGAAAGTAGCAGTTCTCAAGGGCAGTCAGGAGAAAGAACAGAATTATTCAAAGGCTATGGGGTTTCAGACAGGCAGAATGAAAGCATGGGATCTGCGGCTCAACAACATGAATATGCTAACACTGCTAAGATACACACGGGCCAAGATGGTAAATAAATTGCACAGTAAATGCTCTTATTATCATTTAAACGCTGCAAAAAAAAATAAGGGATTTTTTTTTACATCTAGAGAAAAAAGATCCCTCTGTTATGACCTCTTTGAAGAGACTAAAACTGAATTTGTCGCCATTAGATACAAATTGAAACTGACTCTAGAGGAAGCTTTTACCATAGTGTGTTCCAGAATGATGCCTTGATGTTGGCTGTGGCTAGAAACAGATTTCCCAGTATTCCAAGTCCCTTTGGCCACTCTTTCATTCTAGTCAAAAATGTGTGTTTTGTCCCCTGGATCACCTCACTGTCACCAGATCATTGGTGCTCACACTCCAGTGTGCAGTAACAACCCAAGTGTATTACAAATGCACATTCCAAAGCTTACCCTAGATCTAGTAAGTTATAAATCCACTGGGGCTGAGTCCCAGAGATGTACATGATCTATAAGCTGTCTGAATTATTCTGACACTGGCTCATTGGACCATGGTTTGTGGGGTTTGGCTTTAGAAGGTATGCAGCTTTTATAGAAAGGACTAAATGTTCAGTGTTTTTTGTTTTGTTTTGGGTTTTTTGTTTTGTTTTGTTTTGTTTTTTTCTCATACAGTTCAAGCCCAGAGCTTTGTGCTTAGTAGGGACTTACATGTAACTAAAAGTACATGTAAAAAAAAGTACAAGTAAAAAAAAAGGTATTTTGCCGGGCGGTGGTGGCGCACGCCTTTAATCCCAGCACTTGGGAGGCAGAGGCAGGCGGATCTCTGTGAGTTCAAGGCCAGCCTGGCCTACAGAGTGAGATCCAGGAAAGGCACAAAACTACACAGAGAAACCCTGTCTCAAAAAAAACAAACAAACAAAAAAAAAGGTATTTTGCTGAACTTATCCAAATAAGAGGGACTTTGTAATGTGCTTTTTCATAATTAGTTTGTGCAGTTGTACTTGAAGAAGCCGTATGATAAGGAGCTGGGAGATGATGCCAACCCTCAAACCATAGCCTTGTATTTAGTCTCTTGAACTCTTAGCCGCTCTGATCTTGTAGAGCCCTGTATAATGGTTGATCTTGCTCACCAGTTTGATGGGAACTAGAGTCACGGGGGGGGGGGGAGGGGGGGGGGGCAATTCTGGGTGTATCTCTGAGAGAGTCTTACTCATTCTAAGTAGGTTACACAGCTCCATGGATTGGAGCCTCAGGCTGGATTTAAAAAAAAAAAGAAAAGAAAAACAAGTGGTTTGGGAACCATATTCATTTCTCTCTGTTTCCTGACACAATACGTGGATGCCATATAACCCGCCACCTCACATCCCTAACACCATATGCCACCTGCCGCCATGATGGACTGTGGCTCCTCAAACCATGAGCCAAAGGGATTCTTCATTCCTTCAGTTTCTTGGGTCATACATTTTGTCATAGATTGAGGAAAACAAGCTATTACAGGACATTGGACTGGACATTTCTTTCTTGGACTTTTTGAAATCGCTCATTAGCTTCTAAATTGATATGAAAAACTCCTAGTTTTAAATTTATTTTCTTCTTTCAAACTGTGTTCTTGATTCAGTATTAGAGACCATTTGTAATATATCCCAGGGTCTAATCCATCCTTAGAAAAATGACAGTGAACGTGTTTCAAATTTTGTATGTTTGAGCATTTAATATTTTTGGGCCTGAAGAAAAAAAATCATTTATCTGTTGGCAAGCAACTCAGAGTTGCCTCATTTAGATTAGATTCACTTTAATTTTTAATAGTAATTTATATTTATGCTTTTCCAAGGATGTGCAATCACAGTCCATCAATTTTTTCTTAGAAATTGAGATAATGTGTTCTTCATGTTTTATAGGATACTTGTCCCTCACATGAGCGATTAGAGAGATGAGTGGGAAAGCCCTCAAATACTGTGACAGTGACTTTATACTGTCAGAATGATTTCTTGATGTACTCAAAACTGCTTGGATAGACTGTGAAATAAAATTCATTTCCCACAATCACATAATTTTTTAGCCCCAAATTTGCCTGTGCAAAATTAAGTTAGTAACAATCTTATCTCCGTGCAGTTAAAAATGACTTCATGCTTGAGGAATATAAATGTTCCAAGGGAAAAATAAAAAATGCATCAGACAGTTGATACTCAAGTAGATTTGGCTTTTAACTTTTCTAAGGGATTGGGCTAGGGTATATTATCTGTCTTCTCTGTATTGTTCTATTAAGATATGAACAATAGTATGAATTGTCAAAAATGCTACATTCGAAACGTAGTCAGGATTCTTGGCATCCCAAGATGTCTTAAGAGGCCTGGAAGGACAGGTCCAACCTCACAGAGGCTTAGCACTGAAGGACCTCAGAGATAGGGCAGGAGGATGGGTGCATTACTAAGTTACTCAAGAGTTCATGAAGGTAAAGGCTGCCTTGATTCTCCATCAAGGTAATGCAATCCTCGCTGATCTGAAGGAGGGAACATTAAGATGTTTGTCTATTCTGCCTTTGTGTAACACTCTCCACCCATCCTTTACAAGCCCACAAGGAGGAGGGGGACTGGAGAGAGGTTAAGACCATTGGCTTTTTCCCCCAAAAGACCTGGGTTCAATTCCCAGCACCCACATGACAGCTCACAACTGTCTGTAACTCCAGTTCTGAGGGATCTCATACCTTCACACCAATACACATAAAATAAAGTTAAATAAATTATTCAAAAAGAAAGAAAAAGAAAAAAAGCCCACATGGAAGCCAGGCGGTGGTGGTGCACACCTTTAATACCAGCACTCGGGAGGCAGAGGCAGGCGGATCTCTGTGAGTTCAAGGCCAGCCTGGGTAACCAAGTGAGTTCCAGGAAAGGCACAAAGCTACACAGAGAAACCCTGTCTCCAAAAACCAAAAACCAAAAACAAACAAACAAACAAACAAACAAAAAAAGCCCACATGGTAACAAGAGCTCTTGTTTCTTCTAGATTGATTACTCAGGTTCTAGGATGGTTCACATGATCTCTCGCCTACGGAATACAGAAGTGACCTATGTCTTGCTTCTAGCTCATAAACTTCAGCTAAGCAGATGAGGTATATATGATCATGTGTAAATGACTGTCTCAAGCAAGACTGGAGGCCAACTTCATACATGATTTTCTCCCAAGTCTACTTGGCCAGATGTGGATGAGCTGGGTCATCTGTTTCACAGCCTTAAACATCTGTGAACAGTGGATGGAGAAATGGTTCTGCTTTACAAGCATTTGTTGCTCTTGCAGAGAACCTGGGTTTGGATCCCAGCACCTACGTGGCTATTCACAAATGCCTGCAACTCCCGTGCCAGGGGAGCCAATGAACTCTTCTGACTTTTGCAGGCTCCTGCACCATGTGATACACATATGTACACACACACACACACACACACACACACACACACACGCACACGCACACGCACACACACACACACACACACACACACACACACACACACACACAACTTTTTTGTTTGTTTGTTTTTTAGACAAGGTCTCACTACATAGCTCTGGCTGTCCTGGAACTCATTCTCTAGACCAGGCTGGCCTCAGACTCACAGAGATCTGCCTGCCTCTGTCTCTCAAGTGCTGGGATTAAAGGTATGGGCCACTATACCAGGCATAAATACATTTTAAAAAAAAAGTCTGAGGCCAAGGTATAGGCTGGGGCTGTGTTCGCATCCTAAACTTGATTGGGACTGAATCTCTTTGCCTACTGGCAGATTGAGTTCCTTGCATTCTGTCAGAATAAACCTCTCAGTCTCTTGATGGCTGCTCGAGGAAAGTACCATGTAGCTCCATGAACAAGCATCTCTCTGCGAGTTGGCTTGTTTCTCCAAATCTGACAAGAGAGATGAGACAGGTTCTTGTTCACGCGGTACACAATCAGAGGGCTAGAGGGCTTTTTATTTTTACTTTTAACTTGCTGTATCTCATTAAATGGCCTTTGTACCCCCAGAAGTTATGCTAGAATGTAGCTGTATTCACTTGCCACTGTTAATGTAAATTCAGCTTAAGCTTTTTTGCATTGATTGTATAATCTGGGCATTCAGGGACCTACGAAGTATTTCGATACAATTGCAAGTTCAAGCAATTCTAATGTCCAAACAAGGAAACTGTATAAACTATTAAATCTGTAATCAACCTACAGAGTGGCTTTTTAATCATACTAAAGAGACTCCAAAACAATGAATTTTAATTACCAGGAGGATTTTTCCCATGTTTCTCCCTCCTCTCAAATATCGCACAAGACAAGGTAACCCAGGGCACCGATGCTCTTGGAGTCCCTAGCAGTTTCTCTTTGTCTTCAGATGTGTGTTACACACTGTCCCTGCAAGGGTCTCTCTTTGGCATAGAGTACCCCAGGGAGGCCCTTGCTTCTTCCTGCCAGCGATTAGCTTCACAAACAGCTTTATGATTGAGTCCAGCAACTTTCCTCAGGGGAACATGCAAGAGGCAGAAACACTTAAATGAGGGTCCATGTTTCAGAATTCACATTTTATTTGTTTGTTTGTTTGTTTGTTTTAGTATAACAGCAGTTAGCATTCACTTTACTCCTGACATCAGATTTTAGTGTTGCGAACACTGAACATGCTCGAGGCAGCCACTGTAAGAGAGCCTCAGCATCTTTCTGTTGCTCTGCTTGGTCCCCAGAAAACTACTGTGTTTTAGGTGTGAGGCAAAGGGTCAGGACAACAATAGAGACCAAAGCCCCCAAACAATGAAAACCGCCTGGTTTAGATTTTTCCACCGGACATTACCGAGGCTGGGCCTCTCCTGGGAGATACTATGCATTCTAGTATAGGGTTTTTGTAACCTTGAAAGGTGACTTTAATGTTATTTCTACTGAGAACTTGGCCACGTGAAAATGAACTGCTAATGCACATACATTTCTTTTGATTAAGTTAATAGGGAAGGTTCTTTTCTATCTCACTAAGTTTCTGGTTCTCTCAAACAGCGAATGACTTCTATATTTTTATGTTAGATGTAGAACTCCCAACCCTTCAGCCCTCTTCCTGCTATTATTCCTGTTAAGCCTGTGTCGTCTTGAGCACTCATCACAGAAGTCCCTACGTATTTTATTAATATTTATTATACAACAGTTGAGTCAGAGGATACAATTCAACGGTGACCCAGAGCTTCTGCTCTGTGTAGACAAAGATGGGCTGTTACTGAAACACATAATTAAGTCTCAGATACATGCAGTATGTTCTGTGCCTCTGAGCACTAACATTCAGACCTTTTGTTTGTTTCCTTGGGGGATATGGGTTTGGTTTTTTTCTATATTGCCCATACTGAAATTAATTTTAGGTGATGGCAATAAGATGTATGCCGTTGTATTCACTTAACAGAAAACCAAGACAACCAGAGAAGGCTGTTCATTAGTTCTCCCAACAGACCTCCAGTGCGTCAGATAACTTTTTCAAAGTAACTCAGAGTTAATGTCTTAACATTAGAGGCAAACGCTGCTCCGATCTTCTGACTAGGAGTACCCAATATAACAACATTTACTTTTTTATTCTTATGTTTAAAATCTGAAATTCCTTTTAGAAGATGCAATACTAATAAACAAACCATAAAATAATTTCCTAGAGAATCGCTTGATGTGGGACGCATGCTCAGAACTTCTGATGTTGATGTCACCGATATAAGTGGCCCTTTGCTTCTCTTTTGAGTGGTTCCTCCAACAGGCAAGATGGTACTGTATTGTGTCCATGTTATTCCTATGTAAAGAGAAGCTTGCGGTGAGGCAGTTAAGTGTAGAATGGTATAGAGATAGATGGATAGAGAGAGAGAGAGGTGATAGGCAGGCAATAAACAGGTGTTTTATAGTCTTGTGAAGCTCTTTGAGTAGTACAGTTTTTCAAATTCACTATTAACTGAATAAAGTTTTGTTTTTACTTTTAGCATTTTTTTTACAGGACTGGGAATTAAACCTAGGACTTTGAGCATGCCAAGCAAGTACTCTACCAGTAAGCTATAGTCTTCAAATAAAATGAAAATTTGAAGCATGACATATGCAGTTAAAATAATTTAAAAACTACTGTGTGCGTATGCTATAAACTAAACTGTTTTCCCATCCCTAACTTACCTCTCACTCTGCAGAATAAACTAGATCTCATTACCTTGTTGGAGCATATAAACGGAACTTTTGGAAAGAAGGTGAGGAATTGCCCACAAAAGAATAGAGATCAGGGTTGGAGGGACAGATCAGTGGTCAAGAGCTCAGGGGACCTGAGTTTAGTACCCAGCACCCATGTCAGGCAGCTCACAACAGCTTGTCACTCCACTTCTGTTAGATCTGACACCGCTAATCTCCAATGGCATCAGCCCTCATATGCACACATACACCCACCACATGCAGGTAATTAAAAATAAAATAAATCTTTTTTAAAAACACAGACCAGTTTTATATTTCTGCTTACTGTTATGCAAATGGTTATTTCTCTACATGTCAAAATCAAAGAATAGCTAAAGTTTTAGCTGCCCATCTGCTATATAAAAAATACTCTCTAATTTCTGTGTTTGCTTACATTGTCAACAATCCAGAGGGAACTTGAACAACTTTGAACTGCAAGAATGTGGAAAAGCTAGTATCACTTAAAAGAATGGATAATGTGGTTTCAGACTGGATTTTTGTGAAAGTGTCTGCTTTTCTCATTTACATTATCTTTAAATGCTATATTCATTTTTTGGCACCTCGACTCAGGAAATTTTCCACTTTTTCTTTTAAAGACTTTATTAATTTGTGTATACACACGCACGCGCGCGCGCGCGCACACACACACACACACACACACACACACACCACGGGAAGGAGGGGTTCTGTGCAGAGAGGCCAGAAGAGGGTATTAGATCTCTCAGAGGTAGAGTTACAGGCATCTGTGGGATGCCAGCCTTGTTACATGGATGCTCAGAACCAAGCTCCTGTCCTCATGATCGTCAGCAAGTGCTCTCACCTTGCTGAGCTATCCTTCTAACCTCAACATCTTTTTAAAGGACAGGAAACAACGAGTCTGACGTGATGAATGCTTGTAAGCCCCGTATTTGAGAGACTGAGGCGGGAGATCATGAGTTTGAGTCTAGCTTGGGTTGTGCAGCAAGACACCGTTTGAACTGTCTGAAATAAAGGATGCAGCGTAGATCTGCTCATGGTGGTTTTACGCAGATTACGTCACGTTTCCAAATTCAATCTCTGCTAATGGGAAGTGACAACATTTAGTCAAGCAGAGGCTGAGGGACAGTGAATTGCAGCTCTTCTGCTCACACCAAAGTTGAATTGTTTAGGCTACATTTTCTTTAGTGTGTTTGCTGATGTTGACTTGAAAGGAACACACACACACACACACACACACACACACACACACACACACACACACACACCTCTGACTGCCTTTTGAAATCAAATACATTTCCTGCCTCTTCTTTCCTCAGCACTCACACAACCAACTTATTTATAGTCCAGGAAAGGGAAAAAAAAAAAAAACACCACTCTACTGGAGGCCGGAAAACTAAGTAGGGAAAGAATGGGAGGAAGCAGGCTTACCGTTTAGCCAAACAACCTTTACTTCATTGAGCTCAAAGCTTAGCAGCTTCGTGGTGGTGGTGGGTAGGCACAATTGGCTGGCAAATTTCTTTTCCTTTCTTTTTTGTTTTTAACTCTTCATTTTTGAACTGCACTTGAGCAATGGAGGGGATGACAACTTTTTCAAAGCGAGAGCAGCGATCTCTAGGTGTTCCGGCGCTTTGAAAAGAAACTTCCAAGAACCCGGAGGAGAGAAAGATGCTTCTCTAGTGTCGTGAGCATCTGTTGACTACATGTCTGCGAATGAAGGTACATGTCCTTTTTAAGTTTGCCTCTTGGTGTGCTTAACGCATTTCATTGGCTTTGCGGACCGGCCATGGGCAGTATTTTGGACTGTGGGCATGTTCTCCTGGAACTCTTCAGTGAGCTTTGCTTGAGTCTGCTCTGACACCAGACGCCTCAGTGATGGCACCCTGAGCTTCTAATAGTAAATGCTTGTCTTAAGGTTATTCCAGGTAGTTGTTTACTTGTGGTAACTTCCGCTAATCTCAGCATCATCCATAATCTCATTGATGATGACCACTGAAAACATCTGCCTGATACTATTTGTGTTTTTTGTTGTGCTGATCAATAATCCATCTGCATTTCTTTGATCAATAACCGGCTTAGGATATATTTAATAATAACACAGCCAAACAATCACTGAAGTCATTTTACTGAAATTTAAGTTTTGTGTAAAATCGTGAGGATGAAAATTATTCTAGTACAAAGTTTCCCTTTTCGAGCAATCATTCTTAAACAATGACGAACGAACCTTCCAGAAGATCAAAACAATCCAGTGCTGAACTTTTCCCAGTGATAGGAACTATTTGTAGTAATTATTTACATTTCATTTTGTTTTTCAAAACATTTCTGCTGCATATATTTTGAGTGTCTTCAAAAAACGTTCTTGTGCTTAGAGATGGAAAGGTAGGAGGGAAATTAAATCCAAGAGCAGTTGCCGCTGCTCACAAAAACTTGGGAGGCTCCAGGGGACCTTCTAAAAGATATTCCTTGCCATTAAGTGTGCTCATTTGTTTAAAAGATGAGGCTGTGTGCATCCACCAGCAGATAGAGACGCTTGATTGATGTCGGCACCGTGACTGACAAAGGAGGAGGCTCTGCTGATTGCTGAGAAGGAAATCGGTGGCTGTTCTTTCGGCCCCTCCCTGCTGGAGATTGCCGTGTTTAGAATCTGCAGCAAGAAGATAGCGAAGTTGAAAGCCGAACTGTGAGCCTGCCAGAGCTGGTGAGGAGCCTAGGGCTTCCTTCTAGGTCAGGGCGGCTCTCTTTGGCCCTTTTGTATTCTGAAAGAATTCAAGTGTGGGTTCTTTTGTTTTGTTTTGTTTCTGACTAAAAAATTTGTAAGTCGTTCCATGGAAATGGTTCACAGAGATTTTTTTTTTTAATAGAAATTGTACTGAAGTTTTGAAAAGACAAAGGGAAACAGAATGACTAGCTAGATATAAGAGTTCTAAGCAAACCACTCTCCATATTGATTTTTCAGGCACCACAATACTCCAAAGCCAGTTCTGAATCCATCTTGTTCTAGTCAACGGTCACACAGTGACTCTAGGGACTGAGATCTCGCTCTCAATAAAGCTGAATCTGCTAATGCTGAACTCGTCCCTCTCTAAATGGCTAAACAATTTTTTTCCAGCTGAGGAGACATTCATTAAAGTGCTTGCCACATAGGCAGCAAGCAGGAAGACCGAGGTTTCGATCCCCAGCACTCACATGAATGCTGGGTGGCCTAGCCAGCCATGTTGGGCAAGCTCTGGATTCATTAGGTAGTCCTTGCCTCAAAGAATACATTAGAGGAGGACTCCCAGGTCATCCTAACACCTCTGCATGTGAGAACACCTATACACACATGCACAGCACACGCACACACATGAAAAAGAAAAGGACACTCTCAGTGAATCTTATGAGAGTTATGTTTTAATATGAATCAAGTTTTAAACAGTAGATAACAATGATGAGTTCTGGGATATATATTATTTGCCAAAGTCTTACCATTAGCTATTGGTTTCTGGGTGCCAAACTTAATAAACATATTCATAAGATGCCAGTTATTTCACTTGCATTTCTTAGGAATTGCTTAATAGCTTCATAGGTTACTTGAGGCATTTTCAGGCTCCTGAGAGTATTTTAAGTTAGGTAATTTAGAAAAGTATTTATCAATATTGTTTTCATTTTCCTTTTAACTACATCGAGGGTGCCATCTCCAGGATGACTTTTACAATCACTGTGTGTTTACAGGTGACAAGGAATAGCTACCCTGGGCCTCATTTTCCATAGGAATGAAATTCAGGGTCCAAAGATCAGGAGAAGCTCCAGGGATTTAGATGTCATTGAAAATAATCTTCAACGTGTAGGGTGTATAAAAGAGGGTGTGGGGTAAACCAGGCCAAGGTCACGAAGCCACACTCATCTCCCATCTGGCCTGAAGCTGGGCAGAGGACAGGGTATGCTGTGTGCTGGGTTCTGTCTTTCTACAGGAGCTCTGAATTTCCGATTAAGGGTCTCGGCAGATTCCCATTCTCCTCCCTCAAACCCTGCAATCTAGGCTGGCAAGCGGCACCCCCACACCCATCATCAGCACCAAAGCACATCAATTTCTCCTGGTTGTAAAATCATGTCAGATCTTGGTACAGATCAACATTCAGTTAGAGAAAGAGAATTAAACAGGAATTAAAAATAGAATTAAATCCTATCTATGGAACCAAACTAATGATATGGATAATGAATAAGGAAGAACTTATCCATCAGTCAGGGAGGCTTGATGGAATATAAAGTTGAGTTGGTTCCTGGAGAGCAAATATATGATGAGGACAGACAGAGGTGAGAACAACCACTGTAAGAAAGGAGCTGTGAGCATGGACGGAGATGGAGATGTACATGGTATGCTCAGGGAACAGGGCTATTAGATGAAGGATGCTCACTGAAATGCGAATTTCTGGTAATAAAACAAAAACACAAAAGCATTCTAGTATCTGTGTCCTATTGTGTGGGTTTGCGTGGGGACACTTGCATGGGTCACATTTGTAAAACTATTACCCTTGCATCTGAAATCACATTTAATTAATTGCCCTTTAGTTTAAATTCCACTCTCTGGCAACCAGTCAGGGAACTGAGTCATTCAGCTTGACAAGAGCAGAGAAATGAACACATGGGGCACGTGAGAAGTGTCTGGAAGAGGTTGAGGCCATACTGCTATGGTACTGATGCCAAACTAAGGGACATAATATCTATCTCAAAGATGTCATGGGACACTGAGAGATGTTGGGCAGGGTAATGATGTGGATAAGATTTGACACAGGACTTTCTAGAATAGGGAGAGCAGGTCCCTGAGGCCTGGGTTCTGATGCACATGAGGAATCCATTAGGGAGCAAATTGACCTGCTCTGAAAACTAACTAGGCATGGTTACGGGAGGAGAGGACAGATTGTGTGTGTGTGTGTGTGTGTGTGTGTGTGTGTGTGTGTGTGTGTGTGTGACTTATGGTCCATTCAAAGCCCATCAAAGGTAGCTCTGAGTCAGGGAGTGATGAAGGGATCAGACATGTATGGAGCATGAGGTGGTGGTGGAACAGCCAGGTACAGAAGTTACTCACAGCTGGAAACACGGGCCAGCTGAGGAGGGAGGCAAGGAATGGCGGTGACAGCAGCCTGCTACTCCTGAGCACTTACTGGATCTCAGTGAAAGGTCAGGACCCGGATCTCCATTACCTTATTAGGGGCTCACAAACAGTTCCAGAAAGATTCCGTTGGTAGCCATGTGTCATAGGTGAAAGGGTGGAGCCCTGAGGGTGTTACGAGTCATCCATAATTCAGGACTGCCGTCACTGAAAGATAACAGGAAATGGAACCCAAGTCCTTGTTCATGTATAACCTAGATTTCTGGTTCTTTCTTGTTCCAAATTTGAGTAGAATTCATAGAATTCCTTGCCTTTGTGTAGTAGTACTTTCTCATTGGGATGGCCAGGCCACAAATAATGACACAGAGACTTCTTATTAATTATAAAAGCTTGGCCGATAGCTTAGGCTTGTTTCTAACTAGCTCCTATAACTTAAGTGAACCCATTTCTATTAAATTACGTGCTGCCATGTGGCTTTTTACCTCTATCCCATTTTTTGTGTGTGTCCTACTCATTATGCATCTGGCTGGCAACTCCTCCTTCTTCCCAGCTTTCTCTCTGCCTCAAAAATCTTGCCTAGCAATTGGCCATTTAGCTTTTTAATTAAACCAATTACAGTGACATATTTTTATAGTGTAAAGGAATATTGCACACCTTTGGGTTAGTATCTTTGAGGAAATGAAAATAGTTTATACAAAGAGGTTTCAGTTATTATTGTTTTCATCTTTGGTTTTTTATAAGCCAGGGTCTCACTCTGTAGCCCAAACTGGTAATCTTGTTTCAGCTTCCCAAATACCGGCATTACAGGAACATACCATTATAATCGTCTTTATTTGTTTTATATTTATTACCTGTATTATTTCCCCCTTACTAGCTCACTTTTCATCTCCCCTTGGTTTTTCTACTGGAATAAAGATTATGCAGTAGAACGAAACCAAGGTGTCCATCACCTGCCTCTGTCCCTGGTTACCTACCCTCTAGATGGGTCATCTGCTAAAAACCCTCCATCCAGGCCAGAGACAGTAGAGGCTAACTGGGAGCAGCAGGCCATTCAGCAATCTCAACAGTGTGGCCGAAGTTCCCAAAGTGACTACATCACTAGGCTGTGGTGCCCACACTGGTTTAGAGGCTGTTTGTATTAATAAGCTGAGGAAAACATTTATGAAATTATACAGACCCTTCGGTGGTAGGGCACTTGCCCAGCACATGCAAGACCCTAGATTGCAGGATCAATACCAGTAAAGAATGAAAAAAGAAATATATTCGTTTTATTATGTTTGACTATTAAAGATGATGAAGATATTATAACAGATATTATGAAAGATGATAAAGCATTATAAAAGATAAACTTTTAAAATGCACATGTAAGACTTTATTGTTAATAGAACTTCTTAAACATTACAATGTATTTTTGTTTTGTTTTGTTTTGTTTTTTGAGACAGGGTTTCCCTAGGTGGCTTTGGAGCCTTTCTTGGAACTCACTCTGTAGCCCAGGCTGGCCTCGAACTCACAGAGATCTGCCTGTCTCTGCCTCCCGAGTGCTGGGATTAAAGGCATACACCACCACCGCCTGGCACAATATATCTTTTTAAATAGAAAATGAAAAGTCTAACTTAGAAATGCAGTCCAAGGAAATAATCAAATTCAGACAAAAATGTATGCGGACTTTTTATTTTTAAAGAATTACTTATTTTTATTTTATGTTTGTGTTTTGCCTGCATATATGGATAGAGGTATAACACCTGTGTGCAGTACCCTCTCAGAGCAGAAGAGGGCATCAGATCCTCTGGAACTGAAGTTGGGGGGGGATGATGGTGAGCTGTTACATGAATGCTGGGGACTGAACCCCGATCCCGTTCCTGTAAGATCAGCAAGTGCTCTCAACAGGTGAGCAGTCTTCAGGCCCTGTAGAAGAATCTTTACCTGCAACAGGCAACACTTTATTACCAAACAGAAAATATTTTTTAAAAAATGGAATTATTTAATATTATTCTATAATTTTTAATTTTATAGAGATGATAGTTTCCATTAGGCTGTTTAAAGGTGTTGGAAAATAGTCATACTTAATGTTACATGAGAAAGAAAAGGCTATAAGATTATATTTGTGGTATGGTCGAATGTGCATATATATATATATATATATATATATATATATATATATATTTGTATGAAGGAACAAAGAGTTGAGAGTTCACAAACTGAGATGTTAACAGTCAGTGAAATAACAGTGACTTTTATTTTATTTTCTACTCTGTCTGGGATAAATAAACGCATACTACTTTATAAACAGGATCGAAACCCCACTACTATCTACAAAGTAGAGAGAGCCGAGTCTGTCCTGTGCCCTGCCATCACGGTCAACAACATGCTTGTGCTAATTCAGCGCCGTTTGTGGCCTCCTCGCCCAGCTAAGAGCCGTATCCTGTTTGTGACAGTGTAATTTATGGTCATGGAAAAGCTTGTGATGCACTGGCCTGCTCTATGACTTCACTGTATTCATAGGCAACAGGAAACAAAGACACACACACACACACACACACACACACACACACACACACACACACTTTTTTTTTCTTTCCGTAATTGTTTTAGTAATAATTGACAATTGG